TTGTTTATGAAATATCAAAAAATTGGCTAAAAGGAATAATTTCTTTAAAAATTACATATATAGTGTAAACATCTTACTATTATTTAGAATTATAAGTGAACATTCATTTATCAGCTGTTTTATCTTCTTTGTATAAAATTCATCCATTATAAATCATCTACAATGTTCAATTCCTTGAACAAGATGTTAAAGACATTCTATACAGAAATGCAATTCCATCTAGCTTTTTATGTTTTTCTCCAGTCCTTTAAAAGTCATTATACCAGACTTGATTTGACTCTAGTATTGATAGGGAATTTACCTTTATTGAAACTTACCCAAAGCATTTAGTTAAGATTTCATATAAACAACTCTTTTTTTTTTTAAAATAAATTTTATTTTTATATTCCCCATACAGTTGCAACCCCCTTATTTTGACCCCCCCTCCCACCCCCTACCCCTCCATAGAGTGTCTCTGGTTCATAGTTTTTTGTTGATTTTGATTTTCACTTTCTTATAGTTATTCATTTTCCCTGGTCCCTTATTTAGGTTTTCTAGATTCCTGCTATGAGTGAGACCATTCGGTATTTTTCTTTTTCTTCCTGGCTTTTTTCGCTGAGCATGATCCCTTCCAGCGCCATCCATGTTGCTGCAAATTGCATGTGTTTATCTTCTTTGAATGCTGAGTAATATTCCATGGTGTATATGTACCACATCTTCTTGACCCAGTCATCTATTTTTGGGCATTTGGGTTGTTTCCAAAGCTTAGCTATTGTAAATAGTGCTGCTATAAACATAGGGGTGCAGGTGCTCTTTGGAATTGATGTTTCTGTGTCCTTTGGGTAAATACCTAGGAGTGGAATTGCTGGATCCTATGGAAGCTCTATGTTTAGTAGGTCCAGAAATCTCCACACAGCTCTCCATAGTGGTTGGACCAGTTTGCACTCCCACCAACAGTACAGGAGAGTTCCTTTTTCTCCACATCCTGGCCAACATTTGTTGTTACTGGCGCAACTTAAACAACTCTTTTACCCTCTTACTTACCAGTTTATAAATAGTCAATTAAATTGCATAATTATAGTAAGTTCAGTTGGTATTAATAATTTGGAAACAAATTTAACTGACTCGTTAAAATGTAACTCAACTGGTATAGTCCCAGTCAGTAGGGTGTGTGTGTGTGTGTGTGTGTTAGGGCCATCATACCGCTGGCATCAGTCAGTATATATTCTGGAAGGACTGGGAAAGCATCAGTTAATCTGTGATTGGGTGTGTGAATGGGTGATAATTATAATGGCTTCTTTAACTTCCTGTATTCGCCAAACTGTTGTAGAGCAACCCCGATACAAAACGGGGTGCCTGACTGTAGGTCTTCACCCGCGCGCTTAAAAGGACTTATCAATGCTCTACTGCAGGCACACGTGAAAGGTTAATAAAAGGTTTATTTACAAGGGAAGGGGAAATGAGGAAATGTACAGCTCTGGGAGAAAAGTGGGAGACAAAGTTTTAAATGAGTCCTACCCAATCCGCCGATCAGGAATCACAAAATGGCGCTCTCAGAGCTGGCCGCCAGCCAGGAGCGGTAAAGCCAGGAGGCGAGCGATAGCGAGCCCCCCAAGGCCCACGTGTTTGGTTTTTATATCCAACCTGGCTGCCCAACTCCACCCTCAGGTCCCAGCCACCCTCCCTTTGGTGGTGATGGGATTTGTCTTTCCCAATGTCTTGATGGCTTTATTCTGGAGTGGGGGTGGGGTCCACAAAGCCTGTATGGGATTAACTCAGGACATCATTTCCCCCTAACAATATGATGGTTTGACCATCATCAGAACAATTATTGGATTAATGTTCACAAGTGTTTCCATCAAATAGTAATGTATTTTAGAGGAAGGTAGAAAATCCTACTAAAAAGGAAAATGTTGTGCTGTTTAATGACAGTGATCTATTCTGAGAAATGCACTGTTAGGTGATTTGGTTATTGTGTAGGTGTGATAAAGTGTAATTCCACAATCCTAGATGGTAGAGCCAACTACACACCTATGTTCTCTGGCGCAGCCCATTGGTAATACCGTCATATATGCAGTCTGTTGGCCAGACATTAAGCAATGTGTGGCTGTATAAAGTGATTAACATGTCCATTGCACATGATAGATGTCCAACCATTATTGGTTGAATCTTAATCCGTATTCTTTCTTTGAAGACTAATGAGACAGTTGGTCTCAAAGTAGCCCAAGAGCTGTCCTTGAGCTAGTCTATGAAGATGATGGAAGGTGTTTCCTTCCTTAGGGAATATTCGGGAGCTTTCTGTTATTTCAGGACAAACCTTATTTGTATTCCTTTCTGAGACAAAGGGACAGAGTAGGGAGTTGTCCAAAAAGAGGGTCCACTATATTTGTAGCCCTGATTTTTGACCCGACTGCTAACTGGGGGAGTAATTCTCTTTGTATCTTAATGAAAGGTTTGTAACAGGGTGGTCCCCAGGAAAGGGGGAGGTTCCCTGCCCCACCCAAGGGAGGGTGGAGCTGAGCAGGAAGAGGAAAAGCAGAAGAAGAGAAGGAGGAAGGAGCAGGATGGAGCCAGAAGGAGACCTGGAGGAGGCGCATGGAGCCTAGAGACACGTGAAGAAACTGCGCTTGTCTTTTGGTCGTGGACTGGGTGACACAGATGTGGGTGAGACCCGTGGGGAGGTGACAATGGCAGCTTTTATCTTGATGTTGATTTTGCTCTTTTCCTTCCGGGCTTGTCCAGTTGTTTGTGACCCTTTTCTGTGGGTCCCCACTGGAAGATGTTTTAGACTTGTGGTAGACTTTGGGGCCTTGTTCTGGGCCGATCCCATATGGATGGACTTTTACCCACGAGGGGATGGGTAACTTTGGGTGCTTCATTTAGAAACTAGACTTTTTGCCTTACCTGTATTGTTTCCTAGTTTAATTAAAGTTCCTTCCCATTAAAGTCTCCTATGTTTTGTATTGATGCGGCGGATGGCAGAACCCATTTAGAATAGGCAGGTTTGCGGGGCTTGGGCTGCCCCTCTCCCTGTCCTATAACAGGTTCACGGAAACCTCTATCCTTTGCTGTGGAAAAGGGCAAATAGTTGCCTTTATGAACGTATTCCTGAATCCAGAAAACATTAAGTGCCCTGTGTTAGATATTTGATTTAGCACAACCATGAGAAGACATTCACTAATTTATGTCACTTGTGGGCTGGGGATCCCTGGAGATCCCTGAGATCCTTTCAGAGTGTTCATAAAATCAAAGCCATTTTCACAGTAACACCATGATGCTGTTTGCCTCATTTAATCTCATTTTCTCATGAATGTGCTGTGGAGTTTGCTAGAGGCTAAAAGATAAGTGATATTTCAACAGACTGAATGCAGAAGCAGATAGAATAGTCCAGTCCTTATCTACTAGGCCAAACATTGAAGAGATTTGCTAAAGTTCAAAAGAAAAATGCTATTCTCTTACTGATTTTTTGGGGAAAATACATTTTTCATGAAATATGTGTTATAACTATTTAAAAACAAAGTAAAACAATGAGTCCAAGATGGAGACACCTGCCCAAAACCCAGGTCTCCAAATTTAATTTAAAATTTAAATTAATTGCAGTTTCAACCCCTCCCAGAAATGTAGTTCTGATTAGACCTGGGCAACAATAGCGGGTAATCTGCCTGCAATTCCCTTTAAGGGAAGATGGCTTTGCCTGAAGTAATCTTTCTTTTCTTTTGCTAATAACCTTGTCCCACTCTCTTTCTGACTATAAAAACCTTTCATTTTGTACCACTCCTGGCAGCATCCCATTCTAAATAGATGAGATATTGCCTGACTCATAAATCATTTAATAAAGTCAATAAGATCTTTGAATGTATTCAGATGAGTTTTGTTCTTTAACATAACATGTAATGAGTATATCATTGTTATCTATAGGTGGATTAATAAATATTTCAAAAATTTCCATTTTAATCTGAAGTAAGGTAAATATTGAAAATTATAACCCACATGAACAAAAATCTTTTGGGGGCCCTCAATAATCTTAAAAGTATAATAGGTTCCTGAGATGACAACAGTTGAGAATCAAAACTGTTAGGGGGAAAGGATGTCCTGCGCTAATCCCATGCAGGCTTTGTCGACTCCACCCCCACTCCAGACCAAAGCCATCAAGACATTGGGAAAGACAAATCCCATCACCACCCAGGGGAAGGTTGCTGGGACCTGAGGGTGCAGTTAAGCAGCCAGGTTTGGTATAAAACCAGACACGTGGGTCTTGGGGGTCTCTCCTTGGCTTGCGCCCACTCTGGGAGTGCCATTGGGATTCCAGGTCAGCGGAATGGAGAGGATGCATTTAAGACTTTATATCCCTCTTTTCTCCCTGAGTTGTACATTTCCTCATTTCCCCTTCCCTTATAAATAAACCTTTTATTAACCTTTTGTGTGTGCCTGCAGTTAAGTATTAATAAGTCCTTTTTAAGTGCGTGGGTGAGACCCAAAGTCAGGCAACCCATTTTATATCGGGGTTGCCCTATAACAAAATTATAGAAGAGAGACTAGGCTGAGCCCTAGGAGATGGTGCCAGAGAGGGAGCATCTAATGATCAGTGAGCATTTGGCAGATCGTCTTACCATAAATGCTTTATTCCAAGCAGTCTTGAAGGATAAATAAATTTAGAATCTTTGAAAAAAAAACTTGGATTCTAAAAATAACGAAGATAATTTTCTATGTAGATTGATAATATGTTTAACTACAGCTGTCTAGTAGCTTGCCTTATATGCCATGATTCATCTTCATGAGTCATGACTAACAACATGATCTATTTGTACATGTTTAGTTTCTGAGGATTGGGTAACAATAGGTGATATACTTCATTGGTATCATTAAGATTCAAGAGCGTTTTCAAAGGCGGGTTTTTGGAATAACATTTCATTAATTGCCCACATAGTTTTCAATCAGTAACTAACCTCTAATTATCCCGAAAGTTCATCCTTGAACATGCATTCCTTAAAATAACATTTATCATTTTTTTTTTCATATAGCAAAAGAATATGTATTCGTTGTAGAAAAAATTCGTTGTAAATATGGAGAAGCTGAAAGGTTGACATAAGTTTCATAGTCTGATTGCTTGGTAAGTATCCTTTTAGTCTCTTTTGACATGCAAATGTATACTTTCCTAGATTAAGCATGACAATTATTATTTTTTAATTGTAATATTAGTGACTTACTTAAGCTTTTGATTGCTGAGGCATCCGCTTCAAAGACAGCTATCTGTAATAAACAGATTGCAAGCCACGTGACTAGATAAGAGAGGGAGCAGTTTCCTTTGTGTTAGAGATCTCTGGTAGACTTAGATAACTGATCTTTTGACCTCTTGTTTTTTCCTTCCCCAGTTTTAATTCCTGGTCCTATGTTTTGAATTCACCAATAAAGAGTGAATTTGTGAAACTTCTACTCTTGACCCCAATAAACGCTGAACCCTAGACCCAGGCTGGTTTCTCTCTGTCTCTCTTCGCCCCCTCCTCCTTACCTATGACTTCACTGTGTGGTCCTACATGTACCTTGTATCCTCCAGGAACCTGTGAGTAATAAACCTTGTCTTTCAAAGTTTGCAGATGCTTATTGCTTGAAGGCTTCTTGCAGTCCTAATGAGAATCACAAGGGCCTATCCAGTCACAACATTGGTTCCAAAAGGAAAGCTATCTTTGAGAAGCCCCCGCCCCCGACATTTATATGCACACCATAGACAGGCTAAGATTGGCACGAAACAAAATATTCTTTTTTCTTTTGCAAAAATGGGACCACACAGTATATATTGTTTTGTAATTTGCATCCCTGACCAGTCATATTTCATTAACATTTTTAGTGCTCATGTTAGGTAAAGTTCTCCAAATATTTTATTGTTATTATCTTTGATTATGAGGGTGCATCATGTTGTTTTGAAGGTTGTGTTATTCAGGATTCTTGATTGCAAGCAACAGAAACTGACTCAATAAATTTCATAGAAAGGGAGTTTACTGGAAATATTGTCAGGTTCCAAGATGGTGGGGGAAGGTGGTCCAATTAAGCTTAGAAAATGGAAAAACAAATGCCCACTACAATGACGATCTAGAATTTTCTACCAAAATGTGTGCACATTTGAAAATATTAGACCTAGTTGCTCGACTCTGCAGGTTCTATTCCCTTTGCGTAGATTAGGATTAATGGAATAGATATGGATTAGATGCCAAAAAAGATAAAAGATGACAACTCGGGCACTGATATAAGTGGGAAGCCATCCCACAGCTCTGAATCAGAGGGGCTGTTATGTAATGTGACCAGCAGACTAAAGATTCTGCAGTTTGCTGCATCGTGAGTCAGACAATGTAAGACAGGCAGGTCTTTGTTTCTCACTTACTGTTGTGTACAGAGCACACACATTGCAGTGTGTTCGAGTGATGGGAATGGCCACAGTGGGCTACCCTGAGAGGTTTGTGAAGGTCAATTGGAAGCAAGGGTTAAATGACCTGAATGTGAAATGACCAGCATCTATGGTGACATGCAAAAACAGAGGAGGTGAGCCCAAGACTCGAAAAATCTTAAGATTTAAGACTGTGCTTTATCATAGTGGCAATTCAAGCCTTTTTACCCCCTCCCCCTGAACCCCTCCTAGGAATTGCTAAGTCTGAGACCATGTGTTAGCTTGAATGATGTAACAGCATGAAACTAGGCCATTTGAAATATAAGATGAATTCTTGGGGATAGGTGAGAAAATATGCCATTTTGAAAAGCTGTCTTCTACTAAAATCATTGCATAATGGCACTCGGCAGCATTAAAAATGACAGGAAGAAGAAATAGTGCTCAGAGAATAGAATTTCTCTTGGCTTTTTTTCTGCATTTCAGAGAAATTTATTCTGGGTTGGTTCAGTAAAACTGGATCCTTAACCTCTGTACTAATTGGCACAGGTTCTCTGCCATACCACAGTGGACTTTTAGTGGTGACAGAAAATGCTGTCTCTTTCTTCCTCTACTCCCTGCCCACATCTCATCCTCCAGGAAGCAAAGAGCCCTTACTCGTGCTTATTTCAAGAAAAATAGGCCTTTTCTATGCAGCTGTATTTCTTTTTAATCTTGGTTGCCTTTTTTTTTTGCTTTTTAAGAAGATAAGAACTTCAAAGAACTGGTCATAAGGAGAAGTAAGAAACTAGGCAATTTGGGGAAAGAAAAATGAGGGAATCACATCTGTTGAACATCTCCCAGTCCCATTTTTGCAGGTATTTTCTCAGCAGATTCTCCCAACCTCTCTAAGTAGCTATTACAATTGCCATCTTACAGAGAAGTTAACTAAAACTCAGAAAGCCTAAGAGATTTGTCCACTATACAAATGCTAAAGTGCAAGAAACCGGATGCAAATCATGGTTTCTTTTACTTCAAACTGCTTTCATCTTGATACCTGAAGACAAGGGAAAGTTAACAAGTGAAGAAATGGAGAGGGGAGAAGAAACAAGATGGTTTTATGACATTCATAATGGACAAGTGTTGATGCTGGCATCTATATTTGTAGTTAATTACAATATAATATGTGATACAGAATAATATAATGGTAATATAAATGTAAAGCACTGATTATTTAATCAAATTTGTTTTAAAACATGGTGTCTAATCTGATTAATATGTTTTAAAACTTGGTGTCTACTCTGATTAATGTGCAAACTCTGTGACTCACATATTTATGCTTTTTACAAAATTAGCATACTTTTGGTGAAGATTCATTCCAATACCTGATATGTTGTGTAAGTGGCCATCTCTGTCTGTCTTTTTCCATCACCTTCCATTTATCCATCTTTTCTCATATACTGCTCTCACATACAATCACACACACATACATACATAGTTATGTAAAAAGGTTTTAAGTTTTGGAATTCTTCAGTTACATCATTTAAAATAATTAACAACATTTTCTGGTTATAAAAATTATCTTTGCTCACTGAAGAAAACTTAAAAGTGTGAAGAAAATAAAAATCACCCTAATCTTATAAATTAGGGGGACCATCATTAGCAGTTTGTTTTGTGCACTATATTCTAAAGCATATATGTACAGAAAAAGGGCTTTTGTTTTGAGATAATTATAGATTCACAAGAAATTATAAATATAGAGCAGAGCTGTTCTGAGTATACTTACTTAGTTACTCCAGTGGTTACATTTTATATCACTATGGTACAACATAAAAAACTAGGAAATTAACTTTGGTACAGTGTATATGTAGACACTTCTGTCATTTTGCCACATTTGTATGTTTATATAAAAACTAGATAGAGATTTAAAAATTTGGGTCATTCTGTTTAATTTGTTTTGTAATGTTTTTCCCTATTTAACAATACAGTACATTGAGAATATTTTAGGTACAATTTTTACCTCTCCTACACTGATCATATTTTTATATCTGTCTAGTATTTCATTTTGTGTGCATATGTTTCTGTGCATTTTGGATAATTTTTATAAGTGATCTAATTCCAAGTAAATTAGGTGGCCAATGCCTCTGCACATTTTAAAAGTATTTGCTGCATCACAGAATCACGTCTTGCTTTGTATCAGTTTGTACTCACTTGAGCCAACATGAATGACACCCATTAACCAGTGACTGGGTCAACATGGGTGTTGGCATTAAAAGCAATCAAAACCTATTTGATAAATGAAAAGTTAATTTTTGTGCTTTAATTTGCATATATGTGACTCCTAATAAGTTGAATATTTCTTATGTTTATTGAACATTTATATGTCTTTCTTATAAATTTTTCTTCTTGTGCATTAACCAATTTTTTTTATGGGGAATTTTATATATTTGTGTCATTTGTTTATGAAGAATTTTATCCCTTTATCCTGTCTGTAGTGACATTTTGTATGTTTCAGTTTGTAATTTTTTTTGTAATGATTTTGCTGTATAAAAGTTAGCAATTTTTGTTTTATCAAACCTATCAATCTTTATTTGGTAGTTACTGTCTTTGTAACTACAAAACTACCAGTCTTTTCACATTGAAATAATTAAGTTATGTTTTCTTTTTGTTCTTTTAGGGTTTCTCTTTTACATCCAACTCTTTAAACCATCTGCCATCTATTTTAGTGTGTAGTATAAACTAAATATCTAGTTTAATTTTTAAAATAGTTAGCTATCCCAGCAACAGCTATTAAAAATAAAAATCCCTTTTATAATCTGAAAAGTCTCATTTATCATACAGTATAATCATATGTTTACTGCAGAAAGGGTAGAAAGTGAATTCTGAACTCATATTTACTCACTCATTCATTCACTTATTTATTCTTCCGCTCGTCCATTCCACAGACATTTATTCAGGACCCCCACTCTGCTCTACATGTGGCTGGTGTTTACTTCAGTGTGGGGAATACAGAAGGAACTGAGTTCAGAAAACAAAAGGCCTTACATTCTGGTGTGAAGAGTGAGGTAAAGATTGTTCTTGTTGCTGGAGGTTTTCAACAGCGCAGCAATGTGAGCTGATTTAAGTTTTAAAAAATTGGTCTAAATCCTGAATGGAGAATGAACTTTGCAAAGGTAAAGAAAGGGGTAAATTGAAAAGAAAAACAATCCTCATATATCTGCTTCCATTTTCGTGGGTATATTTTTCAGAAAATTATATCATCTTAGAAATACTGTTGTTTTTTTTTTTTTAAGATTTATTTATGTATACAAGAACTGAGGTACAGGCCAGAGGTGGGAGGGTGAGAAGATTCACCAGAGGCAGAGTAGGGAACAGAACAGGCAGATTGACTGAAATACACTGCTGAGGGGAGCAGCAGACAAGTCAGGAGAGGTCTGCTGTGCAACGTGGGTCACCACCCTTGCTGGAATTGAACTTGTGCTGCAGTGGCTGTGGATAGCTTCATAGGTTGCCCCTTAACCCTTTGTGCCACCAGGGAGGCCCAGAAATACCTTTTTGAGTCATTTTCCAAATTTACTCTTATTTTTTAAACCAGCATTAATGAGGCAAAATTTTCACACCACGAACTTCAGCCATTTAAAGTGAGTAATTCAGTAATTTTTTTTAGTATCGTTACAGGATTGTGCAACCATTCCTGTATTCTCATTTTAGAGCCTTTCCATCACACACAGCAATAAGAAATTTGTGGCCGTTAGCAGTCACTTCCCTCAAGTCTATTTTCTGTCTCTATAAATTTGACTTATCTGGATATTTCATATAAAAAGAAATATACAATATGTGCTCTCTTATGTCTGTTATATTTCACTTACTGTAAAGTTTTTGAGGCTCATCTATGTTTTAGTATCTATTGGTACTTCATTACCTTTTGTTGCTGAATAGTATTCCATTATATGGATATGCTACATTTTGTTTATAATTCATCAGTTGATGTACATATAGGTTATTTCAACTTTTTGGCTATTGTAACTAAAGGTGCTTTACACATACATGTTTCCATTTCTCTTGAGTGGAGATTTCTTTTGAGGGAAGAATAGAAATGCTGTCTCCTTTAGTCTATTTAGGTTTAACATTAATTTTCAAAAATCTTAAAATCAGAACAACCTTCACTATGGCTTAATTGCCATTCTCCAATAATTTTGATTATTTTGCTATTAAGTTTAAGTGTGTAAAACTAGTTTTTGTTATGTACTTGAAATTTTAACATATTTTATAAAGCCTGTCTTTGCATTTCATGTATTTTAAATATCGAGAAATAATCTATCTGCTCAAAGATTTTTTTCTTGGTTCCCAAATTGATTTGATTAAAAAATGTCTTTAAAATGAAGCTGTTCTCTAAATTACTGTTTTAAAACATATAACATATGGAGTTATTTCTATCTTTAAAATAAATTTCTGTGAACAGGAGGTTTGAAAATCACAGAGTGAATATCTTTCTTCTTTGTTATTTTAGCTGCTGACATTCTAAATTCAATTTAGCAGTGGCCTTATATTTTTAAAGTTAATGAAGTAGATTTCAGGTTCAGTTAACAGTAATTTAAGATGACAATTAAATCATTAGTGAAGCTAATTATTAAATGGAAAACTCACTGTAATACCCAAGATCATAATGAAATAAAACCTGAAGTCCAAGGGCTGTGCGGATTGCGAACTGGTTGGTGTGTAGCTCTTTTAACATAGCAGCGCAATAAGCAAAGTTGACAGATGACAGTCCTGCAATGGTATTATTTCCACTAGGCTGAACTTTAATATTTAGGTTCATTTCTAGTCATGATTTTATTTAGCCTAAATCATAGAGGATGTAAAACACCACATTTCACAGCATCTCGAGCTGTGTTTCTAAATATTATATATCCATTATGTTTATCCCATTTATCTTAAACTCATATGACAAGTATAAAAATTGCCATATTTATTATAGTAAAAATAAAATAGGAGTCATGCTGTTAGAAATGCTCTTGTATCTTTATTTTGATAAGCAAACACAGGCATTTCTTTTGGGTATATACCTGGAAATTGTTGGAACATGAGAAACACTATGTTCGATTTCGAAAGATAAGGCCAAACTGTTTCACAAAGTGGTTAAACCTCTGAATAGTCCCACCACCAAGGTTTGAGGGTGCCTGTTACTCTAGTTTATGTTAATAGCTAAAACTGGGGGCCACTAGGTCCATCACATTGAAATGGATGACTAAGTGGTGGTTGTAAACAATGGAATACTATATACCAATAAAGTTAAACTATAGGCTTCAGGTAACATCATTCTTGCATCTCGAAGATGTAATTTTAAATGAATAAAGCATGAGAAAAATGAATGATACTATATGCTTCCTATATTTATAAAGTTAAAAAAAGACAAAATTAAGGTGTCAAGATAGTGGTTAATTTGGCGGAGGAAAGGGGACAGTAGTGGGAGAGGGACAGAGGGAAATTTCTGGCTCCTGGTAATATTCTCTTATGGACCTAAATTTCTTCACTTGTGACATTTCTTTGCATACTTATGATCTGTACCCTTGTGTATGCATGTTAAACTTCAATAAAAAGTAAAAGAAAAGTAGCTTTTCAACTTAGAATAACATTAATTTTATTCTTTTGATCATAATTAAAAGATTGATTTCAACCTAAACTGAGTCCTTAAAGTAAAATGTATTTAAAATTATCTTTTACACTAAAAAATTCTTTGATATATGGCGTGAATGTCTTACTTTATAAGGCTTTTTGCCCTTTATTTTTGTAAGATTTTAAGGGTTGTCTTTGCATTTTTATTTTATCACATCTTTAAAATTCTGCTGCTTTTATTATATATTTTAATTTCTGATAATGCTACCTTTGTGATTAATTTATTTCAAAACCACTTTAATCATTCCCTCTATGGTTTTTTGGGTAAACTTCCAAAATAACTAGGATTTTAATTTTGATAGTTTTTACTTTATAAATTACCTTGGGAGGAATTAATAGCTTTATAGACTTTGATTTTTTTCTTCAGGTATATCTATGAGTTCTCTCCATTAAATTACATCTTCTTTCATGCCACATCATATTATTTTCTTTTTATTTTTAAAATTCAAGTGTAATTATATCATTAAAATATGACTAAATTCTTGTTATTAAGAATTAAAACATTACAAATAATTGTGATCCCCAATTCGGCTATCTCATTTTCCCTTTCATAGGGTTATCCACAGTTATCAATTTGGGGTATATACCACTTCAGAAATCTTTTGTGCATCTTCCTATGTGTAAATGTACCCACAGACATATGGTCATGATATTTTCATCTACTTGAATTGTATCATGTAATCAATATTTGTGTGTTTTACTTTATATTCATCCCCCCCTGCAATAATAGGATTTAGCCCCCCTTCCATATGACATCCTTAGACCTCTCTCATTCTATTAATAGAATTGTGAGTCCTAAAGAATTCTTTAAATTGCTGATGAGTATTTAATAGAATGGATACACTATGGATTATTTATCCAGACTGTTAAAGGATATGTAGATTTTTTAAATTTTTTATGATTAAAAATAATGTTAGGCCAAAGCCTGTACTCATCTGCCTTTGTACACTTATAGATTTTGAGAGGTGGGATTTAACGTACCTGAAATTTGGATTAATACTGTGTAATACTTATCTGCAAATATTTTCCTGGTTGGCATGCCAATTAAGAATGTATAAAAAAATTCATTTCTATCCTCTCATCAATACTTCATATATCGAACACTGTGGGAGGTGGTAAAAATAAATGAATAAACTGCTCTCATATAATTTAAAACTGAATGTAATCAAATACATAAGTAGTTATAATATTAAAAAAATAAAAACAATACCTTACAGGTAGCTGAACTTGTAGAAATAACAGTTTGTTTTGTTTGGCAGTGGGAAGAGGTATTACCATATCTGAGATACCTTTGTGAATTCTTCCCAACCAAAAGGACAGACTCAAGAAATCCCATTTGTTGGCTCACGGAGTGAACTCATCTTTCAAGAATAGATTCATAACACTCAGACTCACAGAGGTTCAAGTACAAAATCAATTGATTAAGTCATAAGAAGAGACAGACATACCCTTCAATGGTCACCTTGTGTGTGGATACACCACATATGAAGCCAGATTATCATCTGAATGCCCAATAATTCAGATTTTAGAAAATATGTCTCCATGACAGTCTATTTGGCATGTAGCTGCTGTGAAGTCTCTCAACTGGAAAAAACAATTTATAATCTTGATCAGCAAGCACAGAATGGGGAAGAGGAGAAACAGTGGTGTTAGTTAGAGGAATCATCAGCTCCACAATATGGGATATATATGCCCCTGATCAGGCAGATGATCTTCTAGGAAATGTCCTTTGGACATTGCTGGTTTGGGTGCAGTCTACATTTGCTTGTAGCAGTCTCTCTTTTCTGAGCTCTTAAGGATGGACAGTCCTCTATCTGATGGGTATATTATGTTTCACTACAATCAAGTATTATTCTCTAGGAGCAATTCATGTTATTTAATTCTAATAATAAAATCAATAATTATAGTCACTAATCTTTATTTAGAGCTTATGATGTGCCAGGCACAGTTCCAAGTGCTTTAAATACATTGATTCATTTAATCCTCTTTGGAGTGTTTTCATCTCCATTTTTGCCCATCACGAGTTGGTTTGATAGCTTATCTATCTGAGGGTGCAAACTCATTTTATTTACATGTTCTTGAGCTGACCCTCGATATAGGCACAGCATATGGGAACACAATTAAAATACAGCAGAAATTCTAAGTGGTAGAAATCCTCTTTGATTAGGTCACTAATCTGCATGAGCGGAATTTTTATTGACAGTAGGAAAAAAATTACGCTTTTAAAAAAATGACGGTTTTCTTGCTTAAAATGTTAGTTTTACATACTTGGAAAGTTTGCTTATGTGTAATACCTAATTTCTCAATAATGGTTGATCAAGCAGATGTATTTTATAAAGATTTTCCTATTGGGAGTAGGGGTAGAGAGGGAATATGGGTATTTTCCTGTAAATTTTTTATATTCTGATTAAACTAAATGGACATAAAACAAAACTGTCATTGACTCTGCAAGCTTTTTCCTTCTAATTGTGTTTCTCACACACTTGTACAACTTATTTCTTAATGAAAATGAGACTCAAGAGATGCTCTTAAAATCCAGGAGGGGAAATTAGAATGCATTGCCTTGAT